CGATTTATGCACCTCTCCATCACCTTACTTATAACAGAAAGCAGAGCTATAGGTCTGTAGTTGTAAGGGTCGGTCTTCGATCCTTTTTTTAGGAAGTTTGTTTTTCATTATTTTCTTACAGGTCCCGAAATGGGCGCATGCCTTTTTCTTACCTGAAGACACCACATGTACAAAGCTCCTTCCAGCTCTGGATGTTCAGCTTTCTTGGGTGTCTGTCTTTTGCCTGGCCCACATTTAGTAGTTGACACGAAGGTTTTAATCTTCTCGTTGTTACTTTTAAATGTCATAAATTGTAGATCGACCTACACCGGATTCACTTGTTAAACTGCTGAAATATTCATTATGATTTAGGCGATCCAAAATATCAGTTTTTTATTTAATTGGCAATGTTTTGTACTTTCGCTTTTGGACTTGTGAAGGCATTACTAGGTATGTATATGTGACATAGAATGATAAAATGAATAAACGATAAACAACAATGAATGCTCGTTAGGCCGCTATTACATGTATCCAGTAAAATTCAAACTGAAACGTTACAACCTGTAATTGGTTGAGATTTATCAAAATTTTTATGTACAATCAACAGTGATAGGCATGTCGGATTACAAGGGGCTCTGGATTAGACAGGGTCCGGATTACCGCGGGTCCACTGTATAAATCATAATAATATGCTGTATTAGACATACTGCTCAGCTTGGATGCCTTGAAACTCGGCAACTATTCGGGAAGAGCTTTGAGCCCATGGACGCTTTTGTTTTACGTGAGTATGAGATCCACGATGCAATGACTTTTTTTAAAAAATAGTCAAACCAAAAATCAATTCGTATAAGCTCACTGTAGTGTCTTTTGAAAACAGACGAGCTTAGACGAATGCGTGGGAGGTATTGAGTCAATCTACTTGACCACTCTTTCTGCAGATGGCAAGTAACACTAGTATGCAAATTCTGAATGAATCTTGTCTTTTTCAGAAACGATGTACCTGATAGTAAGAAAGGATATGCCGCGTTAGAAAGTAATGACCATAGTACCAAAGTTCCTACAATCAAACAAAAACGATGCAACCGGTAAGTTCAAACACATTTTTTTTTTTTGATTAAACAATGTTGCAAAAAAATTGATGAAGCAGATTGAGTCCGAAAGACAATCTATTAGAATTCCAAACGTAGTGGAGAACATTCCACAACTACTTCAACGTCGTATCGTACTGAATCATCAGATACTCAAGACGACCAAGATTTATGAGATAGTGATAATGGTAATGATGATAATGATAATGATTGATAATGATAATGATAATGATAATGATAATGATAATGATAATGATAATGATAATGATAATGATAATGATAATGATAATGATAATGATAATGATAATGATAATGATAATGATAATGATAATGATAATGATAATGATAATGATATGATAATGATAATGATAATGATCATGATAATGATAATGATCATGATAATGATATGTTAATGATCATGATAATGATAATGATAATGATAATGATAATGATACTGATAATGATATGATAATGCTAATGATAATGATAATGATAATGCTAATGATAATGATAATGATAATGATAATGATAATGATTAACTGATAATGATAATGATAATGTAATGATAATGATAATGATAATGATAATGATAATAATGTGATAATGATAATGATAATGATAATACTGATAATGATAATTGATAATGATAATGTAATGTAATGATAATGATAATGATAATGATAATGATAATGATAATGATAATGATAATGATAATGATAATGATAATGATAATGATAATGCTAGATAATGATAATGTGATAATGATAATGATAATGATAATGATAATGATAATGATAATGATACTGATAATGATAATGATATGATAATGATAAGCTAATGATAATGATAATGATAATGATAATGATAATGATATGGTAATGATAATGGTTAATGATAATGATAATGATAATGATAATGATAATGATAATGGTAATGATGATAATGATAATAATAATGTGTATTATTTTTCTGTTAAAAGAACAAACACAAAAAGATACCTCACTTGATGAGGGAGGCTGCATTCAAACACCGTTGCTCTTCCATGCAAGCCCGTGAATAATATTATACTTATCATAAGGATAACCTAACAGTTACAGATTTGTAATGGTTGTAATTAATACAACAGTAAAAATAAAAGTATGGTAGTTTTTTCACATGGGATTTGACTGTTTCGGAAGCTACTAAGTGAGAGCGAATTTTTTACTACATCTGGCAGTACTGGAATTGTACATTGTAGATGCAACATAAGTAAATTACTTTTTAAACTGTTCGGTACTATGGAACGGAACACAGCGATTACAAGTACGAGTTTGCCTATCATGCAGATCCGATCTCCTAACAAGTTTGGTGTAGAAGCAAAGTGGTAGCTGGGTTTTGTTAATATTGTACATGTCATATAATATACATCTCATGATAAAACGGGTAATGCGTGAGAAGCAGTGAACCAACCTACTTGACGCCATTGTTTTGTTAAGGTTAGGATAATTAGTTAAAATACGTCAATTCTTCCACAGTGATCGAGTAGGCGCCATTCGAGCCGCTCGCCAAAATCAAGCCTCGGACATCAACTTGATTTCCAGGCGCACCAATGTAAGCCAAATTGCCAAGAACCTCTGCAACCAATGCGTGACTCTCAATAAGTGCAAGACAGCGGAGGGATGTAGGGCGTGCAACCTGCTCTGCAAAGACGTGGTGCTGCTACCGGACCAAACCAAGGAGGAGATCAAGGTACAGGACCAAGAGCTAAAGGTAGAGTGTTTCAATCCCCAAGGAAATTCAGGACCTGTGGTGGAAAGTGGAGTTGAATGGACTGAGGGAGAAGATGGTGGACAGAAACAAAGTGCTTCTAGAGTCCCCGTTGTGGGAAATAGAGCAGGATTTGTGGATGAAGAATCGTGTGGAGGGCATCTTCTAGCTACAGTCGTGTCTGGTAAGATATGGATCAACTATACTTATAATTGCAGGAAGCTGTGAGACATGATACTCATTCAATGAAATTCCAATATAGCGATCATATTGAAAAAAAAAAGTTGGTGATTCAAGTCTAAAGAAGAAATATCGAATTGAAAATCTGACTACGCCATTTTGTAGAGGAGAATAATTAACAATGACAATATGCAATTTATTTTGAAATTTCATCTCATATAAAGTCAGGAAAAAATGAAAATGGTTTTGGGATAAATTTCTTGAAATCCAAATGCTAATTTAAATGTTATTTTATTACTCAGGCAATGTGAAAGAGATGATCCTGCAGATGGTCGGCGTTCAGGACCCCAGCGACATTTTAAGCGTGTCAATAAGAGCAAGCACTCGTTCAGGCACCGCTCCAATTGCTAAAGGTCCGGAAGGACCTGAGGCTCTCCTCAAAATCTTCAAAGATGAACTTGGCAGCGCCATCTTAGCAGAACATCCTGATATGCAAGAACCACCCACCATACATGAGCTTCTCTTCAGAGTCCTAGAAATGGTTTGTGGACAATTTTCTTTTTACTACTGGTCACAATAACATACATTCTTTGACAATCCTGAATTTTGTTAATCGTACATATTCGTTTTGTCAACAGGTCCAAAATTCGAAGCCAGAAATCAATCATGTAGGGGCAAAACAAGCTGGAGAAGCTTCTCCCCAAATTCAAGAGAAAAATGAAGAGCCAGCTGAACACAAATTGACTGAAGAAGATGAAAGGACTTCAGTATCACAGACAGCTGCAGATATGCAAGACTCAAAGCTAGGAACTGCTGAAGTTGATCGCTCCAAAACAAAAACGATAGCTGAAGAGAGAGAACAGGAACAGTTTGACAGAGAAGAAAACTCAAGGTCGGAATTTGATCGACTAGGCTCAGAACATACGGAAAGGAAGAAAGGCCAAGATATAGAGTCATTGATGAGAGAAGAAGAAGATGGCGCCTCATCGAAGCGCTTTGACGGTCAAAATTCAGTCTCAGATTTTGATCGAGTAGGTTCAGCACATACAGACGATGATGTGCCGTTATTTGCTAGGGAAGATATTGAAAGTCAAAACAGCTTAAGATCAGGTCAAGGAGACTCAAGGTTGGGCTCAACACCTTCAGAAAGAACATCTCCAGCAGATGAACACTCACTGACTAGCGAACACGAAGAACGTGTAACCCACACAGCAGCAAAGGCCCAAGAAGTCTCAAGGTCAAAAATTGGTTCCATGAATAGTGAAAAACTGGAGGAAGAAGAAGATAATGAACTTCGAGAGGAAAATGAAGATACCCTAGAAGATGGTAGGCTGGGTTCAAGACATGAAGAGAAGTCTTCATTACGACAGATGTCAGGAGAGGATGATCTGGTACCGAGATTACCATTGGTTAAACAGTCAGAAGGATTTGTCGTACCTCAGGTAGTGAATCCTGCCATCATTGAAGGGCCTCCACCTCCTGGACTGGTAGTTGGATCTAGTCTAAAGGAGAACCCAAAACAAACTCTTAAAGAGGTGAGTACAATTTTGATTATCCTAATATCGTAGGCAAATCCAGTAAATTTAGAAATGATATATTTTCCTTTTCAGATGCAAAATACCAGTCCCAACAATCTCCATGATGAATCAGTCGACTCTACAGAAGATGACCTTCCCAGGTATAACCTTGCAGACCATGAAGGCTCACTGGTCCTTCAAGTAAGCAATATCAGTACTATTGGGCTTTCCTCGCCAAAAGGAAACAGTATTGATGACACATTTATACCTGATATGGAAGCTGATGCATCAGAACAGAAACCTGTTGGAGCAAATGGAAAAGCTCAATGGGCAGCAGCTAGAGTGGGAGGTACTCTTAATGAAGACATCAGAATGCAAGAGACAAGTTCAGCAAGAGAAGCTGTTAGCCATGTTGGAGAAAAAGGCATGTCAAAAAGCACGGTTGGAGCTACGCATGAAATAAATATTTTAGATAGATTAGACAACTCTGCGGTACAGAATATGGAAGCAGATTCAACGGATAAACAGGTTTCTGATACTAATGAAGTTGATAATATATCCAAAAATACGGTTTCGGAAGACCATAATACTATAATAGCTAACGCGAAAGCTGATGGCACATTGACTACAAATGAAGTAGTTTCTTTGTCAAAAAGGATTGAATCTGAAAAAAAAGCTATTGGAGGATTTATTGCAGGCATACCTGATTTAGAAACAGCAGACCCAGAAACTGAACGACCTGGAATAATCAGTAACTTTGAAGGAACGCAAAAAATGCCTGCAGATGTGATTGAAAAGAGGCCTGATTTTGGAGCCGTACTTGATAGTGAAAAAGATGACTTGAATAAAAAATCCTTGTGGGATATAGAAGGGATTGTTCCTTCACAAGCAGAACCTGATGAGTCTGGTATACTTTCGACTGACACCTTTAAAATGCATACAGGATCAAATCTTTCCCAAGCAAAGGTGTCAAAAAACAAAGTTGTTGACTCAACAGCTTCTTCAGAGACTTTTGAAGTTGCAAGCAGAGCTAACAGTAAAGCGGACCATGCTCTTCAAAGACCCACTCTTGATAATATTCTTGGAATTCCTCCACCAACCGTTCCCAAAACAACCGAAAAATATTTTTCTGAAGTTACAAAAACCGCTCTTCAAATTTCTTTAGAAAATGTACCTACTTCCAATATGGGCAGAGGGTATCCTAAAAGTGTTGAAGGAGAATCTCTAACAGGAGTGGAAAATAAGCCAACGTCTGAAGAGTCAATTTTAAAAAGAGTATCAGAAAATACTGAAGGTGTTAATGTAGCTGATGAAATGGAAACACCTGATGCATCTGGGACCGATGAACCTATTGGAAATAGAATTGGCGGCCCAATAGAACAAAATTTCCCAGGATCGATACTTCGATCATCTGTTAAAAATGTAGCTGCTTCCAGTAATGTTGAGGAAAAGTTTCTAGCAGAGGTGGATGATGATGGTGCTGTAGGTATGACAGAACCAACTTCTGAAGAACTACTTAGACCAAAATTAACTGACGTGACGGTTAATACAACTAAATTGGAAAGAGTTGATGCTGTTAGAGTTGATGTAACATCTGTTCAAAATGAAATTTCTGATTCAGCGGTACAATACCCAGAAACTGTACTTCGAAGTTCAATCGAAAATAAGACAGAATTGACTACAGAAAAATCAGATGAACAAAACGGAACACAGGGTACTGCTTTTGCTAATTCACCAAGAATTGGTGCAACAAGACAGGATTTATCTCACATTCAAAATGATCTGGAAGTATTGGAGAAAGTTTCGCACAGCACCACTAAGGAAGAAACTGTACCAGAATCCATAGTAGGAGCTGATCTTGGGGGTACCAACTTTGCAAATCCTGTTGTGAGAGAAAAAACATTAGTCTCAGTTGACTCTCAAAATATAAATGAAGCTCAGCTTACGAAAAAGGTTTTTGAAGGGGTTAAGGATCTGGAAGGGGAGAATAAGAAGTTTGCCAAAGCAGATGTTGTTGATGAGGGTGGACGAGTTCGAGATTCATCCGTCAATGTAGTCTCAAATGGAACTGAAGTTGTAGGAAGAGCTAAGGTTGTGGGAAGAAAGTTTGAGCAAGAAGTTGATAATGAAGCTTTCCTGGGTGCTATTGAAGATTCTTCTAAAGGATCATCAACTTCGGACGCTCTACTAGGTTCCACAACAAAAAGTAAAACTGCTTTGAACGACGGCAATGTTATATCTGATACAAGCATTCTCAAACAGAAAGCTAGAACTTCGGAAGCCAAAGGAATGCTTAAACAGGAGAAATCTCAGACAGTTTCTTCATATGTAAGAGGAGATGAAAAAGACGATTCTGAAATTGACGAGTTCATAGAAAGGGATTCTAATGGTGGTGATACTAGACTTCGGGATTCAATCATTGTTCGTGCAGAAGACGTAAATCAAGAAAGGGGTTCTGGTACTTCACTAAACGGCAGCGTGTTAGGAGCTGAGCGTGAAGATATGGAAGATATGGATGACATGGTAGCTGAATCCTCACAAAATAAGGTAAGATTTATGCTACAACTTAAAAATGATGATTACTCCTTCCATGCCCATTGGTGAGCAAGTAGTGTAATTAGGAGAGGCTTGCACGATGATATATTCATCAGGAAAGACATTACACTCATATCTGTTAACTTGAATGTCTGTCCGCTAATCCTTGGCACCTTTATAAGTCGGAGATTGTCGCTTGAATTTTGATGAAAATTGAACACGATGTTAGTATTATGCCAGGGACAAAAAACATGAGAACCACTTAAAGTTCATTTTTCGATGTTTCAGACACTATTATTCATTTTCAGAAATTTTATTGAAGGGGTTTGGTAATTTTTCGCACTTGTTACAATAGTCACACATTTCACATACATTTGCCATTAACAGAAATATGTAGATGTATTTGTTTACGGTATATCGTATTTGAGAAAATATACCCAGACAAGCTTAGATTCCACTTGAATTGTTTGAATAGATTTGTCTTACATTTTTTAAAATTTCGCAATTTTGTTGTCAGTGTATAATGTATTACACTGCACTACTTAAAAAATTGAATTAGAAGCCATAACGGAGGTATAGATCCAATATACCTGACGCCATGTCGTTCTCATTTTCTTTGCAATTTTATATTCTAGAGATATGGGATACGCCAATCTTACAGTACAGCTCTTGCCTTCCAGAAAATTTACATATTCTATACTTTCACGTAATACTCGAAATACTGAAACACCGCAATCTTGTATTCATGCCTCGTGAAATGCGGCGTAACACAATTTTCTCCCTGCACGTCTGAATTTCTGTATCTGCATTATGTGTTGGAGCGACAAAATTTTATTAGTCGGTTCTGACATTTTTCGGATAGGTCTTATTAGAACACCGCAGCTATCCTTAATGGATCGAGGTCTCAGGGGTAGGCTGTGAGGCACAAGCTTACTCTCCCCCCTACAAATTTTCTTAATTTTTAAAACATGCAGAATTTTCAGAATTCATAAGAAAAACTTTCTTAACATATACAGAATTCAAAATACTCAAAATTTCTAGTTTACTTTAATAAACTCAAAAATGTTGAGTATTTCCAAAGACTTGATTTTGAAATTTCAGGAGTTTTTCAAAATTTTCACAATTTCCAAAATCTGAATTTTGTAAATTTTCAAATTATGCAAGATTTTCAAAATTTACAGGATTTATGGAATTCCTTTAATAGGTATCCAAAGTATTTAAAACTCAAAATTCTTTGATGCTCAAAATTTTTAGTTCTAAAAAAATTGAATGCTTGAATACTTTAAGTAAATTTTTCACAATTTTTCATATTTTCACAATTTCCAAAACATTCAGGACTTTCTAAATTTTCAAAATAAGCAAGATTTTCGAAAATCATGAGATTTATGAACGTTCATATAATCCAAAGTATTCAAAACTATCAACATTTTTTGAGTCCTCAAAATTTTTTGTTTAATAAAAATTGGCATTGAATACTTTAAGTGACTCGAAAATGTCGAAAGATTTCAAAAATTTTACATTTTAAAAACTTTGAAATTCCATAGAATTTCCGCTTTATCATTCTCAAAATATGCAGAATTTCAAAAGTGATCGGGATTTATGAAATTTTCATAATAGAATATTCAAAGTATTTAAAACTTTGATCCCCAAACTTTTCAATTTCAAACATTCGGAAGCTTTGGGTACTTTAAATAGCTCGAAACTTTTTAGAATTCAATTTTTATTAGATTTTCGGTTTTGAAACAATAGCGGTTTTTTACAATTTTCTCTATCCCCCCACCCCCCATAATAGCCATTTGTTTTGCACACTAAATTTATCCCAAAATCACTTTTATTTTTCACTGATCTTGTTTGAGATGGGATTTCAAGATGAATTGCCCGTTGTCATTAATACCTATTATTCTCTTCATGATGGCGTAGTCAAATTTTCAATTCGACATCTCTTCTTTTGACTTCCATCACCAACTTTGTTTTTTTTTTTATAAGGATGCTACATCGGAATTTTTCACATGTTAATTACCCAAATTCAATGATTATTGCCTTAACTGACCATGAATTTGTTGTTAGATAAAAAGTACAAGGAAGTAAAGAGATTCGGGAAACCTGAACACAAAATAAAAATGTTACTGATGGTAACCGCAAAAGTCATAAATAAGCAGTGGAAATCATAGCAGTTGTTTAAAATATCCGTTATTTTGTAGGCAATGCCTGACTTTTGTCTGTACATCGCTCACTGCTCGATTTATTTCTCTTCTTTTCAGTCTTCCAAACTGTTGCTATGTTCAATTTGAGGTCTGGTCTCTGGTATACGAAACAAATGAAATCTGATAATTTTCTAATTATGCCATCTTGTTGAGGAGCAAAAGATGCTACGTTAATGTATAATTTATTTTAAAATCCCACTTCAAATAAAGTTAGGAAAAAATTAAAACGATTTTGGAAAAATTCAGTTTTTTTCGTCACTCTCCCGATCCGAAGCTTTCTGAGCGACATTTTGTTGATTACCTGAATACGCAACTTTGCCCCCATTTAAGCGACTTCGTATCTCAACAGTTTCCGAAATCCCAGTGGTCGAATTTGTCGCTCCCTGTATATTCCTGTACATTTGCTCCTAAAACTTGGAGAAATATTAAACTCACGTCTCGCGTCTAGGTAGCACATGCCGTACGCTACGCTACCCACAACATACTGTATGGGCTCATTTGATCCCTTTAATTCATTTTTGTGTTATACACTTCAGTTGGCCCACTTCATGATTTGTACCAAAATATGCCTTTATAAACTAAACAGGACGAAACTATTTACTTCTAAAACAATTTATTTTCTCAAAAACATTTTAGATACACTCTAGTCGTAAAAAATACATACTTGAAGCTACTTAGACCTATAACTAATAGAACATCTGAACAAATAAACAATGTGCGAATAAATGCGCGAAGTTAAAAAAGCAACAATTGAAAGATTACCATTGGGTAACATCACCTTTATTTTTTATTACGGCCGAAATTCTTTGGGGCATAGTTTTGGCAAAAATTTGGTGTAAAACAATCCCAAAGTTCTTGAAGCTTTTGTCTCAGTTCGGTGAATGTACGAGCAGGATGTTGTCGTAGAACCTTTTTCATCTCGTGCCACAAAATTTCAATAGGTGACAGATCTGGACTGCTAGAAACCCATTTCAAAAGTGGTACATTATTTTCTTCCATCCATTTTACAGCCTTTTTTGAGGTATGGCACGCTGCACCATCTTGCCGAAACACAAAATCTTGGCCGGATGTCAAACATTCTTCCATCACTGGTAAAAGCAATTCTTCTAAAATTGAAAAATATTTGTTTGTATCCACATTTCCATCAATAAAATGAAGTTTTCCTACTCCTTTTGATAACATACTGCCCAAGACCATAATGGATGCTGGAAATTTCACGTTTCTCTTCAGACAGTTAACATGGAATGCTTAATTTTTTTGCGAATAACTCTACTGCGACTGTCACCAACACAAACTTCGATTCGGGCCTCATCACTCCATTGTATTGCACACCATTGTTGAGGTGTCCATTGTCTATGTTCTTTAGCCCATCTAAGCCGATTTTTCTTTTGCAGTGGAGTTAATAGTGGCTTTTCTTTAGCCTATAAACAAGTTGTGCAACTTTAGGGTGTTTACTTCACTTTTTTTATAAGAAAACTTACCTTGCATGTGCTAAATCCCAGTTTGTGGGCCTCTCTATGAGTTGTGGACCATGAAATTCTCCTTCCAACAGCGTCACTCCACAGAGCACTTAATTGTAAATAAATGGCCCGCCTGTTTTTCACGATTATTCTTCTTAATGCTCTTCGGTCGGCATTTGTGATATTACTTTTTTTCACATATCGTGGCTTAATATTAACTGAACCAGTTACGTTATATCTTCTAACAATATTTCTCACACTGTACCGCGGTAAGTCTAACAAAGTTGCAATTTCTGAGTTTGATTTCCCAGAATTAAAAAATTCAATTATGAGTAACCGAATTTTCTCACTAATAACCTTTCCTCTACCCATTTTGAAAACCTTAACTACCCAAAACTATTTTAAACGTATTCTGACAGCTGTGATTAATAAAAACAATTGTCATGGCTTTTATTTTTCACAGCCACCTATGCGTTACAGACTTATTTTGCATTGAAATGAAAATAGTTTGATATGCTGTAATTGCAACATGTGTTATTTTTATGCTGCAAATTTGATTAGGGAGTGATAAAGTTGGTGTTTTCTACTATATATTATCAAAATATTCATTGTTAATATTTTAAACCTATAACACCCTGCTACATTTTTATTATTTGTGTTTGATAAGAAAAAAACTAAGATTTCAATAGTTGAGTCAACTGAAGTGGGAAGGGGCTCGTACATGTTCGTAGTTGACTTTTTTTCTTGTAATAATAATCCTTGCAGAGTCAACCTACTTGACCGCATTTTTTATCTTATTTACGTTCGTTAGTCCAACAAAAAAATCCTGGTATTTTGTTTTCGTCAGTTGTTTGGTACAACATTGGCTACAATAAATTATTAATGCGTGTTCTAATATCACGACGCAAAATACAGATATTTATTTTTCAATTTATTATTGAAACTCAGGTTAATAACTTAATTTCTGTTGGACTTTTATTACATTTTTTTTGAGAAATCAACTTCTTTCGTAACAGTGCATATGTGGTTAAAGTTTGTCGGATTAGTTGTGTTACACCCTGAATGAGAAAGCAAGAAAACTCGTCATTTCTCCGTAACTATAAAAAGCATTGTCCCCAAGGGAGCCAGGAATAAACGTTTAGATCAAAACGGCACTCAGGCTGTAGCTATTTTAATTAGTAGTCTGCTTTAATGAGCGGACGGCAAAGGAATTAACTGCAACTTTCTGGAATAAACATTTCGTAGTTCAGAAATAATGTTTAATGCGGTTGAAAGTATAAGCTGCTGTTAGTTTCCATAGAACTCAAAGCACTTTGGATAGTCATGATGCTATTTAGAAACTTTTTTC